CTTAAATGTCTACCTTTAGAAGAATAGTTTAGCAAAATGTGGTACAAAGTAATGTAATGGTGTGATGAAATAGGACTCAGTTATAACATTTCTTTGAAGATTAAGTTTAAAAATAATTGGAGAAAATAGTTCTTTTTTTTCCCCCCTGGTTCTGGGGCTTGAACTTAGGGTCCAGGTGCTATCCTTGAGCCTGTTTGTCTTAGGGCTAGCGCTCTACCACTAGAGCCACAGCACCACTGTGAGCTTTTTTGAGTAGTTTATTGGAGATAAGAGTCTCACGAGGACTTTTCTGTCTGGGCTGGCTTTGAACCACAATCCTCAAATCTCAGCCTCCTTAGTAACTAGGATTACAGGTGTGAGCCTCCTGTGCTCAGTGGAAAAATAGTTCTATAACAGTAAATAGTAGATATTTGTTACAACTTAATGGATCATAGCTCTATATTTCATATGGTAAAATAAAAGGGAGACAAAGATACAATCCAGGTGTTAACAGAATATGAAAGTAGCACTAGGAATGTAGAGTCATTAAATGAGATCTAAAGAAAGAAAACTTTTATTAATAGATGGTAAAAGAAAATGAAAATGTCATGTATTAATCAGTGAAACAAGTTTCATAGTTTACCTTATACCTATATGTTGTTACAGTGTTGTCTGTCAGTTTTATGTTGCATAATGAATGAAAAGTTTTATATAACTATTCTGAGTGTTTGAATTTCTTTTCAAGGTACACATTCGAGTAGCTTCACCACCAATTAGATATCCATGCTTTATGGGAATAAACATTCCCACAAAAGAGGAGCTGATTGCCAACAAGCCAGAATTTGATCATCTTGCAGAATACCTAGGTAGGTATTAAAAATTGTATACAGGGCTGGGAATGTGGCTTAGTGGTAGAGTGCCTGTCTAGCATGCATGAAGTCCTGGGTTCGATTCCTTAGTACCACATAAGCAGAAAAAGCCAGAAGTGGTGCCATGGCTCAAGAGGTAGAATGCTAGCCTTGAGCAAAAGAGGCTCAGGGACAGTGTCCAGACCCTGAGTTCAAGCCCCAGGAGTAACAACAACAACAAAAAAAAGGTATACAATTTTGGAGGGTGCTGGTGGTTTACCTAGTTGCCCAACAGGTTGAGATCTGAGGATCTTGGTAAGCCAACCTGGACAAAAAAAGTCCATGAGACTCTTATCTCAAATTAGCTATCAAAAAAGCCAGAAGAGGGGCTGGGAAGGTGGCTCAGTGGTAGAGCGCTTGCCTTGCATGCCTGAGGCCCTGGGTTTGATTCCTCAGCACCATATAAGCAAAAAGAAAAAAAGCCAGAAGTGGTGCTGTAGCTCAAGTGGTAGAGTGCTAGCCTTGAGCTGAAGAGTTGAGGGACAGCACAGCGCCCAGGCCCAAGAGTTCAGGCCCCACGACCGGACCCAAAAAAAAAAAGCCAGAAGAAAGGTGGGCACTGGTGGTTCATACCTGTAATTCTGGCTACTCAAGAGGCTGAGGTCTGAGGATCACAGTTCAACGTCAGCCCAGGGAGGAATATCTGTGAGACTCTTATCTTTCAGTTAACCACCAGAAAGCCAGAAGTGAAGCTGTGGCTCAAGTGGTAGAGTGCTTGCCTTGAGCTGAAGAGTTGAGGGACAGAATCCAGGCCCAGAGTTCAAGACCCACAACCGACCAAAAAAAAGCCAGAAGTGGCTCAGGTGCTAGAGCACTAGCCTTGAGTAAAAGAAGCTCAGCAACAGTGCTCAGGTCCTGAGTTCAAGTTCCAGGACTGGCACACACACACAAATTTTTATACCTGTTAATAGAAAATCTAAAACTTGCCACCTAGTGTTCAATTATATAGTTATATATATTCAGCACTTTTGAAAGACTATATCCCCACCACAGTAAATGCTGTGTTACTTCAAGGTGCAGTCCAAGTAGGAAGAAGAGGTTTGCAGGAGCTGCAGGCATATCATTAAAACATTATTATAGGCTCTAATAGAATGATTAGATATGGATGTGTTTCAAAAGTTAAAAGCTTGGGCTGGGAAGATCGCTCAGTGGTAGAGCGCTTGCCTTGCATGCCTGAGGCCCTGGGTTCGATTCCTCAGCACCACATAAGCAGAAAAAGCCGGAAGTGGCGCTATGGCTCAAGTGGTGGTAGAGTGCTAGCCTTGAGCTGAAGAGCCAAGGGACGGCACCCAGGCCCAGAGTTCAGGCCCCCACAACCGGCAAAAAAAAAAAAAAAAAACACAGAAAGTATAAATTATCTAAATATCACTGATTTCAGCTACTCAGTTCAATGCCACCCTACCCAGAAAAGTCTGTAGACTCTTACCTCCAGTTACCTAGCAACACACCAGAAATGTAGGTATGGCTTAAATTGTTTAGTTTCATGAACCAAATGCTGAAGTAGATTGTCAGACCCTGAGTTCAAGCCCCAATATCATCACAACAAATAAAAACCAACCAATAAAAATCAAATGTTTAGTAAGTACAAGCCAGGTTACTTTTTGCTGATATCATTCTTCTGATCATGCTTATTAAATCCTTTTAGGCTTGAAGCATTCTATGCTGTTTTAGTCATTTTACACCCTTTGTTCCCATTAAAGTATTAAAAGAGTCTAGAGTTTTCTTTTTTCTTTCTTTTTTCCTCCTCTCTGACTATGAGAATTAAATTCAGAGTATTTATACATACTACCAGGTAAACATTCTGCCTACTAGTAGATTAACATCTCCAGTACATTTTTTTTTCTTTTAACTTTTGGGTCAGGGTCTCAAGCAAGTTGTGCAGGCTTGCTTTGAACTTTTTATCTTTCTGCTTTAGCGTACTGATACTACAAACCTGTACAACTATATCTTTTTTTTTTAAGAAAGGCTAAAAAGAATTTCTTTCCTGACATTATGCTATGTCAAAGTATTTGTTCCTTTTACAGGACTCTCTCAACCTTCTGTTTCTCCCTCTTTGTCCCTGCAGGAGCAAACAGTGTTGTGTATCTGTCAGTAGAAGGACTGGTTTCATCTGTACAAGAAAAGATAAAATTTAAGCAAGAGAAAGTAAAAAAGCATGACATTAGGATTCAAGAAAATGGAAATGGTCTGGAATATTTTGAAAAGTCTGGTCATTGTACTGCTTGTCTCACTGGCAAATACCCTGTAGAACTGGAATGGTAGCTAAGAGAAAGATAACGTTACTTCCAGACAGAATGCTGGTCAAAAAGTAGTTATACATTATTTACTTAATGAGTACAAAATAAAATGCCATATGCTTAAGTTTGCCTTTAGAAGTTTTGAAGTTTTTTTCTGAAAAGGGTACCAAAGTCTTCTAATTGACCTTTTAATTGCATATGATTCCATATGCAGGACTTCTTTTATATATATATGTATGTATATGTATACATACATGTATGTATATATGCATGTATATATATGTGTGTGTGCATTTACATACATATACATGTCTATGTATATGTATAAGCACTGGCTAATCTTTATCACCTGGTCAGAGAAGGCAGGTAGTTAAATGGTATTTGTCAAGTCCATGCTTAAGAGTTTTGCAAGAGGTTAAACTAGCAGTTGTGACATGGTCAGATTAGTTAACTATATCAATTCATGTGAAGTTTGAATTCATTATAACCCATAGGTGTTCAGTTCTGTCTATACTCAAAGCTGGTTTCTCTGTCTGCCTTATTCCCCCCCACCATTATTTTAGGGAATTAGCATACGATGAAAAGTTGGGAGGCTGACGCAGGAAAATCTTGAGTTCAAAGACAGTCTTTAAGACCCTGTCAAAAAGAAAAGTCTGTGCCTCAATATCCCATCTATACAATGAGGTACTTATTGTAGTGAATAAGAATGCATCATTTTAGGATACTGCATCAGCAGCAGCTTTTGAAAAGTTAGTGATCGTTAGCTTCTTTGAATTGAGTTTGCAATGGAGATTACATTATGATGAAATGTACAGTTGGACAGATCATTACTATGTCTCTCTGAAATGCCCTAAGGTGGTCGTACAGATTTGTTTATAGAGAACATTTTGCCATACTTGACTAGAAAAGGTGATCTACATTTAGTGCCCTAACAATATAAGCCTAGCAAGTAAATTTGAGATAAATAGCAAAGTTTTAAATTCCAACAATTAGTCTTAATTTGATTCAGAATGTGCTTCTTAAATCCAGTTTTTTATCATTTGCAAGACTATATGCCTGTGTATGTATTATAAACACATAATGATTGAAATTAAGTTATTAGATGGAAATGTGGGCCAATTTTAAGATTAAGGAGACAGCCACTTTCTGGAAGCATCAAAAGTGTTTGTTCCTATGGTATATTACCACAATTTAGTGTATATAGTTTACAGATCCATTTAGAAATTTAATATTTATTAATAACTGATATCATTCTTTTTTTGATTTGTAGTTTCACATGTTATATTTTAGCAGCTTAAGAGACATGCTGATAGTTCTTTAGGATTATGTGCATCAGTGGCTCAGATAACCCTGCAACAGAGACACAAGCAAAATGACATTTTGGGACCATTTCAGCACGTATAGCCTCTTGTCTTAATGTATTCCCCGTGCAGTATAGAGATAAGAGCTGTGTGTCAGTTCTGAAATAGCCTTTAAATTTGATTTTTTAAAAACAAGAGACTCAGGGACAGAACTAAGCCAAAAAATCTCTGATTTAACATCATGTTTTCCATAATGTTTATTTTGTTGTGTTGGGATGTTTTATAAAAGAAAATAATGCTGTGACAGTTTAGTAATTCTACAGGTTTCTTAGTATTTCCCCACCCAGTCCTTCATTTCACGTTTCTGAAGTGTGAATTAAATTACTGATTTTTTTTAAAAAATGAGTTTTAAGTGATAACTGTTTTAAATTTATATAAATAGAATATTGTGAACTGCAGAGAAGATGAGAAATTGTTTTCACAGGATTTGTATTGTAAACTTAAGTAAACCTTTGTTACCTCTTTGTGATCTGCTGGTGACAAATATATGTTATAAATATGTTCACATATGTGTGTACTGTTTTTTTTAATAGATATAGTGCATTATTGTATAAACAGTATAGAGACAACATCCAGGCTCCATACTTAGAACCTAGTAGTCAGATCTTATTTCTCTAATCCAGGCATTTCAATAAATAGACCATCTATTATGAGTTCAGTAAAAGTTCTGGTTGAGTACGGGGGTCAAATAAAGTAATTACAAAATGCAATGCCAAGTAAGTACTATTGGAGAAACATCCTTTGGAAATATGGGGTAACTGAGATTTAGATTTTCAGTGTATATGTGTTGAAGTGGTTTTAAAATCAACATAAAATAGGTAAGTGGATAAAATTGGAGATAATAAATGGATGTTAGAAATTAGTGGGGAAGGAAGGTTGAATAGGTGGAACTTAGGGTATTTAGGGTCTTGAAACTATGCTGTGCATGGTTCTCATATGGCTTTAAGAAATGTGTCACATTGCTGAAGGCACTAGGCAGTGGTCAGGATTATGTGTAGGCAAGAGCACATGGGAAGTCTGTACCCTCTGCTCAGTTTTTCTGCTAACCTAAAACTGCTCTTTCATTCATTCATTGAAGCCCTGAGGCTTAAACTCGAGGTCTTCCCCTTCCCATCCCATCTTCCCCCCCCCCCCCCACTCAACCCTCCCAACACCCCTCTCCCCACCCCACCCCCACCACCAAAGTTGTAAAGTTCATTTTCGACATAACGACTTGTACCTTGTACGTCTCATTGTTGCAATGGTTCCACCTGTATCCCTATTTAAACAGTTTGTTTTTTCCTTTCCCCTCCACAAATTATAACAACATCAAATACAATGAAAGCAGGGGTTATACCATGGGACATACAAAGCAACAAAGATCATTTGACTTTTTCACTCAAGGCTACTACTCTGTTTACTGAACTACAGCTCCACTTCTTACTTTTTGGTGGTTAATTGGAAATAAGAGTCACAGGATAGGGGCTGGGAAGGTGGCTCAGTGGTAGAGCGCTTGCCTTGCATGCATGAGGCCCTAGGTTCGATTCCTCAGCAGCAAAATCCAGAAGTGGCACTGTGGTTCAAGTGATAGGGTACTAGCCTTGAGCTGAAGAGCTCAGGGACAGTGCCTAGGCCCAGATCCAGAGTTCAGGCCCCATGACCGGACACAAGAGAAAAAAAAATTTTTTTATTATTTAATTTTAGTCAGTTGTGGAGCCTGAACTCTGGCTCTGAGCCAGGGCGCTGTTGCTCAGCTCTTCAGCCCAAGGCTAGCACTCTACCACTTGAGCCAGAGCACCACTTTGGCTTTTTCTGTTTATATGGTGCTGAGGAATCAAACCCAGGGCCTCATGCAGTTCCTACTGTTTAAACTTTTATGTCATCATATGAGATCCTAAGTATGGTACTAGAAGTTAATACAGCATTACCATATATCAATACAGTATTTTCTGGGCTTTACAAAGCAGATTATATAAAAATATTTAAAATAATACTCCATCAAAGAAAGAGTAAGGGTTAAAAAAATCCTCACAGCTGGGTGCCGGTGGCTTATGCCCATAATCCTAGCTATTCAGGAGGCTAAGATCTGAGGATCATGGTTCAAAGCCAGCCTGGGCAGGAAAGTCTGTGAGGCTCTTCAATAAATCACCAGAAAACCGGAAGTGGTGCTGTGGCTGAAGTGGTAGAGCCCTAGCATTGAACTGAAGAGTTCAGAGACAGTGCCCAGGCCCAAAGTTCAAATCCCTCTACTGACAAAAATAAAATAGGGGCTGGGAAGGTGGCTCAGTGGTAGAGTGCTTGCCTTGCATGCCTGAGGCTCTGGGTTGTATTCCTCAGCAGCAAAATCCAGAAGTGGCACTGTGGTTCAAGTGATAGGGTACTAGCCTTGAGCTGAAGAGCTGAGGGACAGTGCCTAGGCCCAGATCCAGAGTTCAGGCCCCATGACTGACCTCATGACCAACCAAAAAAAAAAAAAACCCAAAAGAGGAACTATGAAGAGCCTGCTTCTTAAAAATAAAAATAGCTATATTGATAAATAAAAATTTTATAAATAGGTCTAAAACTGGATGGATGTAGTAGTGTGAGGTTTTTCTCTTTATCCAAGATTGATTTTGGGATTGAGGGTGTAGCTTAGTAAAGTGTTTGCTAGCAGGCATAAGGTTCTGTTTAGTCCTCAACACTAAAAAAATAAATAAATAAATAAAAGACTTTCACTTACTTTCTACAGTGATGTAAAAGAAGAATTTATTTGCATTAATTATTTTAAGATTGCCATTTAAAAGTTTGATTGATCTCTAACAGTAACTGAAGGAACATTTCAAAAACATTTGTTTAAATTTGGTTTTATTGGGAGGTTGGGAGGGAAAAAAACTGGAAGAAAATGAGAGAAGAGGTGACACTTTTCAAAAAGAAATGTACTCATTACCTGACTTATGTAACTGTACACCTCTGTACATCACTTTTACAATAAAAATATTAAAATTGGAGATGAAAAAATTTGGTTTTATTAGTTAATTTAACCAATTGGAAAAGAAGTCTACATTTTTTCCTGTTTCATTCTTATTTATGTGTATAACATCCCTTCAAAAGAAAAGCTGAGGGGCCGGGAAGATGGCTCAGTGGTAGAGCGCTTGCCTTGCATGC